CATTCCTAAGTTCATTAAAGTCTTAAAAGTGGAAAGGTCAATAGTGATTTATTCCGTGGCCAACCTTCTCAATGGCAATTCTTTACAAACAATTTTTCTGTCTTGACGTATGGCGAGACTAATAGCCAATGAAGGTAATTTCATAAGGCAGTGAGCTACTTGGATTCATTTTTTAAAATAAAATTTGATGTTATATAAAAACAAGATATTCCCAAGGCCCTCCATCTGATGAGAATGAGGACAAAAAGTGAGAACAAGTTGGGATCCTGCTGCCTTGGTTGTCCTGTTGTTATGGCTAATATTACGTGTCTACTTAACTGGGCTAAGGGATGCCCAGACAGCTGTTAGTTCTGAGTGTCTGTCAGGCAGTTTCAGGCATAAATAAGCATTTGAATTGGTAAACTAAGTAAAGAAGATCAGCCTTCACCAAAGTGTGTGGGCCTTATCCAATCCGTTGAGGGCCCAAGTAGAACAAAATGGCTGAGGAGGGGTGAACTTGCCCTCTCTGTCTGAGCTGAAACATCCATCTTCTCCTGTTCTTAGACACTGGAGCTCCTAGTTCTTAGGATTTTGGACTCGGGCTCAGAGTTATACCACCAGCTCCCCTGGTTCACAGGCTTTTGAATTTGGACTGAACTATCCCAGAAGCTTTCGTGATTTGCCAGCTTGCAGAGAGCAGACTGTGAGCCTTCTGAACATTCATAATTGTGTGAGCCAATTCTCATCTCTCTCTTTTTCTCTCTCTTCCCTCTGCCCCTCCTGTAATGCACTAGGCCAACCTGTATCTCAGCATCGAGAACACTGTAGGGATTATGTGCTACCTGCATGAACATGTAAAGCTCAGACTTCAGTCACAGCTTTGCCTCATGTTGACAAAAATAAGAATAAGAAACAGCATGTGGATAATACATGGGAAGGTATGCAGATGGGAGAAAATGCACAAGATATTTTGCAAGTACAACCTTAGGAAGGAGAAGGGTCCCAAGACAAAGCACATACAGACTTGGCATTGACCTCATTGGCCAGTGATGTGAGAATGATGGGTGCCATAAGAAAGCATACACACCTGGAGCCAGGCTCAACTTCTCTCACGTTGTTGTGTGTTGCAGATCAGAGGGGTCATGGGCAGAGGGAGAAGGCAGTGAGTTCAACCCAGATTCAAACAGAGATACTCCCACACTGTTAAGTGAGCTAAGTAGGCAAATAGGTTATCTGAAGACTCCCCGTCTCAAACATATAACTCATTCTACCTGAACCACAAATGGAGTAAAAATCGTTAATCTTTTAACTGGTCTGGAAGTAAGTCATTCAATTTTTCCCTTCTTCAAGCATCCTCATCTACAATATGGAGATTTTCTTCCCTCTTTCCTCCTTCAGCTCCCTCTTCCTTCTTTTATTCCTCTTTCTCCCCCTGCTCTTTCTCCTTCTCCTCCCTCTATTTCTGCTTTTTTTTCTTATTTTCTCTATCTCTTTCACTTCTCATACTCTCTTACACATTCAGTAAATGTACATAAAATTCTACTTGTGCTAGACACAAAAAATATACAAGTGAATGAAAAACATTTTTTTCTTGTTACTACAGACTTTTACATTCTAGTAGGGTAAGAAATTAAACCAGGTAAGCAAATACATGATATAGAAGGATTATAATAGGAAAACTCAAAAGGAGTTTCAGATAGAGAAATCAGAGTGAAAGTCACTTCAAATTGAGAAGTCTAAGATCTGTCTGAAATTAATGTGTGAGCTGAGACTTAAAAAAAGATGGCAAGGATTATTTTCCTAAAGTAAGAAAGATAAAATGCAAAGTTAAATTAAAAAACAGTACAAAGCAACATAGGCAGAAGAGGTAATGGAATAAATGATGATTAAGGAATAGATTGGGAGCAATCATGTAGAAATGTATAGTTTCATAGGCCAGAGAGAAAAAAAACACTTTAAACAATAGCATAATAGGAAGACATAAAGGTGCTGAAGGAGTGGCCGTGAACAGCTTGCAATTTGGAGCCTTGGTTACTGGAGCCCAGTGTCATGGATCCTACATTGGCAAAAGTAGAAACAGAGATTAAGAGAATATTATGTATTACAGCAGGAGAAGAAGGTGGCTTAGAAAAAGTGGCCGTTGTAGAGAAAGATAAATGGAAGGATTCAGGAACTCACTGATTGATTGGATGTGGAGGCAACAGAGAAAGGCATACCAAGAATGGTTCACTTTATTCACTGTGACCAGGCCATCTCTGCTCATTTCCAGAGAAGTTTCCCAAAGAATTGTTAAGAATCTTTATTAAGAAAAATAGACACCTATACAAACATATGTTACTGAAGACCCAGCTAAGATTTAAGATATGCCTTTGCTCAATATCCAGAATTTCATCATTTTGTTCAGCAGCCGTTAATGTGTAAACACAATACATGTGTTTTGCTACTGACCTGTGTTTGGAATTTTGTGGGGCAGCAAAGACAGGAAAAGATTGATGCTAGAAAAATGAAGAGAATGAATGAGAAAGGACACAGTTCAGATAAACTGGCCTAGGCTTTGCATTAGGGAGGAAAGAAAATGAGTAGGAAGCATTACGCAGAGGGAGAAAAACATGAGAAATAATGGGACTGATATCTCATTACCCACGGTGCATATAAAGGAGGGAGACGACTGGAAAGGCAGATGATGCTCAGGGAGGGAGATATTTGCTTGACATTTTAGTCATCAGTAGTTCAAGATATTTTAAGATGTGGCTGGAAAAATGTAATGAAAATACAAAAGGAAGTGCAGCTGTTTGGGGCTGAGGAAGTGGAGGAAGCAAAAGGCCAGGATGAGAGTTCCAGGATGCACTTGGGCGCTGCTGTATTCTATGATGAGGACTTGCAGGAGCATCTTCAGTCAGTGGATGAGGTTTCTGGAAGGCCAGGGAAAGCAACGCAGTCACAGGGCCTGGCAGTATACCAGTACGGTATACTATACACAATGGGAGCTCTTCCCCTAGCACTTTACAAACAGGTGCTTAGTGACTACTTACTGATTAAATGAATGTATAAAGTTGTCATCTTCCAGACACCTACTTTTCCTTCTATGTATAAATTATGAGTTACTAACTAGGACTTTGGCAGTAACCCTGATTATTCTTTCTTCTCCTCTCTTTTAACATGATTGGATTCTGTTAATAAACCATATTTAGCTGCTCCCTTTGCCCCGTATGTTAGTTTATAAAGGCTGCTGATATGGTTTGGCTGTGTCCCAACCCAAATCTCATCTTGAATTCTATAGTTCCCATAATCCCCAGGTGTCATGGGACGAACCCAGTGGGAGGTAATTGAATCATGGGAGTGGTTTCTCCTATGCTGTTCTCATGATAGTAAGTTCTCATGAAATCTAATGTTTATAGGGGTTCCCCCTTCACTCAGTTCTCATTCTTCTCTCTTCTGCTGACATGTGAAGAAGGGCATGTTTGCTTTCCTTTCTGCCATGATTGTACATTTCCTGAGGCCTCCGCAGCCATGCTGAACTGTGAGTCAGTTAAGCCTCTTTCCTTTATAAATTACGCAGTCTCCTGTATTTCTTTACAGCCGCGTAAGAATGGACTAATGCAGCTGCTATAATGAAGGAGCGCACATTGGGTGGCTCCAACGAGAGACATTTATTTTCTTCAAATACAATCACATGAGAGGTTAGGGCTTCAACCATTGAATTTCAAAGGGACACAATTCAGTCCGTAATGCCCAAGCCATTGATCTCATCAGAAATTCTTTGCCTTGCTTGTTATCATTTAATCCAATAAGAAAGAAATGATTAATTAAGCACCTAATTTGTACAAAACCCTGGGCATGGAGCATCTCCCAGGCACACACTAAAAGGTGAGTAAAACGTAATCTCACTTTTCATGTAGAGAATGGTAATATAATGGGTATTGTAATAGCTATGCCAGATAGACTTTCCAGACAGATTAGAAATACACATGACCTAGAAGGGGCAGCCCTCCATGCCACGAGGCTATAATCCAGCCATGGTAACAGGACCAAAGGTGGACCCAACACCCACCCAAAACTGGATCAATCAAAGTTTTATTGGGAATGATTCCATGTGGGGTCCAAAAGTTGTCACAGATAATTGGAGTTGGCCACATGACAGACACGACATGGTATGAAGGGAAAAGCTATCCTAAAATTTTTATTTTATTTTACCTACTTTATACTGAGGAAAATGAACCTCAGGAAAATTGAATAGGTTATTCAAGATCACTACAGTTTATATAAATACATATATTTAAATGATTTTTATAATATGCAATAGTATGTATTATAATAATATAACATATAATTATATATGTTATTAATATATTATAATTATTATATACACACACACATATATATGCACATATATACACATATGTATATTTTAATTTTTCAATGCCTCGGGGCTCAAAAAATTACTTAAATTTAGAAAACTCTAAGATGTGTGTGTGTGTGTGTGTGTGTATATACATACATATATATATATATATATATATATATATATATATATGTTTTTCTCTTAGTATTTTGCTTTTAATAGGCTACTATAGCCAGAGTATTTTAAGGGCATTTTAAAAGATTTTGAAAATACCTCATAGAATCTAATGGAATATAAATATTATCCATTGCTTATCAACCTGAACTGCAGTAATATGTTCAAGTATTATTTTCTCACCTCATTACCACTTAATTGAATTAAAGCTAAATTTGTGTTTATGATGTATAATTAGGAATTATAGGTAAGGGACAGGAACATTCTTATTAGTGGCCATCTGTTTGTAAAGAAGCAGCAATAGCAGAATTACCAGGAATTCCATAGTCAATGTACACACAAAGAATATCAGTACTGAAAAGACAGTACACTGTTTGGATGAAGAGATGGTGGCATAAAAGTTAAGAAGTCACAGAACTACTTAGCAGTATGCCTGGGCTAGAACCCCATTTTATCAGCCACCTGACTTGAAATTGATTTTTCTTTCTAGAACGCTTTCCTCCCAAGTACCAAAAAGACCTATGTCCACTGGGCCCATTCAATAAATGGTTGAAAGCTGAGTGAGCTGTCAGCTTCACAAGCAAGTCAACTAAGGATTAAAGAGAGCAGCCTCATCATGAAGACCTTCCAGACAGCAGCTTTACCGTAATTGATGAACAGTACCTCTGCTCTGCTATGAGAAGAAATAACACTCCCTTTCAATGAACATTAATAACTGATTTCTGTCTCTCTCTCTTATTTTCCTGTCTTAATATTTTTCTAGCAGTTTTTATGTCACTGGCATAACATCATCATTGGCATGAATCATCTCATAGGTAAGCTAAGGGCTGATACCCCTATCTTAATAATTAGCAAAATGGAGACCTAAATTTGGAGACTTTGCCAAATTAATAAAGAGTTGAAGCCCAACCCAGAGATACAGCCACTGGATTACTCACCTGTCAAAAAGAGCAAATAGGACACTGATAAAAACATTAAATGGGGCCAGGAGCGGTGGCTCACGCCTGTAATCCAAGCACTTTGGGAGGCCAAGGTGGGTGGATCACGAAGTCAAGAGATCGAGACCATCCTGGTCAACATGGTGAAACCCCGTCTCTACTAAAAACAATACAAAAAAATTAGCTGGGCATGGTGGCGCGTGCCTGTAATCCCAGCTACTCAGGAGGCTGAGGCAGGAGAATTGCCTGAACCCAGGAGGCGGAGGTTGCAGTGAGTGAGCCGAGATAATGCCATTGCACTCCAGCCTGGATAACAAGAGCGAAACTCCGTCTCAAAAACAACAACAACAACAACAACAACAACAAAACACATTAAATGACAAGATGATTAATGGTGAACTACACCACCCCAGAAACTAATAAAGCTTTCACACACATACTCATATATGCTTACATCAACTATCAATTATTTCATAACAGTTTCATCAACACCCACCATGTGCTAGGTTTGAAAGGGTCTATGGTGCAATGCTATGTTGTATCTTAGCCTCAAATCCTTGCTGTGCTCTTCACTGGCTGTGTGACCTTGGGTTAAAAACCTTAGTATCTGCAGATTTTCTTATCTGGAAAAAAATAACAATAGCCCTTACCTCTTAGAATCACGATGATAAGCACAGCATCCAAAATGATCTGTAAATTCACAGATATGGCAAATATTTGAATGTAGACTCAAAAGCAGTCACCATCACAGGCAAATGGATAAAGGATGTCTGATATAATTATTGGAGCTACCCAGAATAAAAGACAAGATTCTTGTTCTCAAGAAATTTCATCTTAAGGAGTTAAGTAGTAATAATCACCCATATAAGGAGTGGTTGACAAGAGCCTGAGATGAAACAGCATAGGAACGTGGAGAGATTTTGTTTGGTTTGTGCCATTCCAGAGGGCTTCAAAAAGGTTGTAGTCTCAAACAAGATCTTGAAGGGTAAGTAGAATTTGACAGATGTGGGGAAGATGGGCACAGTGAGTAAAAGGAATAAAATAAATGATGGCATAAGAATGCAAAAAAAAAAAAGGTAGCTTGCAAGTATTCATCAATTGGTCAGGCTTATTGGAACAGAATATGTATCTAGTAGAGGCTGTTGTTAAGACCAAATAGGAAAGTCGGGGACAACAGAGAGGCAGATTAGGGAAAAGTCCTGTCCACTAGGCCTTCTGCAAAGGAAACGGCACCATTCTCATGCTTCATCTCTACCTTCACTTATTCCTCCCGTGATGGCAGCTGGCTAGAGGTAAATTGTGTTCTGAGCCCTGTGTCTCGTTTTTATGATTTATTATTTCAGTCTTTCAGCAGGGTGAGAATATAGAGTGTGCTGGATGGCACATACTCGGGGAATTTATGTTGCATAGCTAAACATCATGTCTGTCTATCTCTTCCCAGTAATCTCCGATAATACCCAAATGGGCTTTTTATTTTAAACATCTGGACAGCCTTATGGTGGTTGAGAATTAAGGTGCTGAGTGAAGAAAACAGCGCAGTCATAAAGTCTGTCGGATAAACAAAGCTTTCTCTGGAACATTAACTCCTTTCCTGAGAAATCTTCTCTGTTCCTCACAACGCACTTAGTAACTTTACATCTTCATCTCCAGGTACCGCTTTTCCTTTGCAAATACTCTCACGGCATTTAATGGGGTTATTACGGTAGAAAACTACGGGATATTAGCATAAAAAGAACATTGGCGGAAAAAAAATGCAAAATGCTTTATCTCACACACACTCTCACCACCCCCATGCCTTTGGAGTTTGCTTTTGTTTTATAACAGCAGATATTCCCATTGTGGATGGTAATTTTTGCTAGATAATAACTCCGTTGATACCGTCACACACTGGCAAAAGGTGTGTAACTCAGGAAGGGGAGAGAGACTGGAATGGAATATAATCAGATAGTTTTATTTGTTTTTAATACACAGCCATTCAATAAATAAAGGTGTTGGGTTTTATCTTCCTTCTTAGAGATCTCTATGGCTTCTTCTCAGTCAAGAATGGAGAAGTATGAGCAGTCTTTGACACCTCTGAGCCTTCTCAATTGCGTGCCATCTGCTGGGTGCCCTCCTTGTCCTCAGTTTCCAGTAAACATTCCCTCATTCTCCAAGATTCAGTTCACATGTCTTCTTTAGCAGGAGCCTGTCTAGACCCCGCGAGGGAGAGTTGGAAGCTCCCTGCTTCAAGTTACCATAAAACCACACCAACCCTTCTCACAGTCTTGTCATTGTACTTATGGACATATGGCCCCAACCAGGCTATGAGCAACAACTAGGGCTGAGGGTGGGGAGTGTGCATTATTTTATTCTTTGTCACTATTTCTTCTTCCTTACACAGTGCCTACCACAGAGTTAGGTATTCAACATGCATTTGTGTATTAGTTTTGTATTGATGCATAACAAGGTACCATAAACTTTGCATCTGAAAATAACACATATTATCTTAGAGTTTCATAGGTCAAAGGTCCAGGCAGGGCTCGTTGAGTGTCCCAGTTTAGCTCTCACAATACAGTGCTGAGATTGGCATATAATAACCAAGAAAAGGAGACCAAGACACAAAAGAAACGAAAATCAGCTGAGAACAATTGCGATATGACATGTTGAAATTAACATCATGGACTTTAAAGCAGCTGTGTAACTATGTTTGTTGAAGTAAAAAGTATATTCTCTTTAATAAATGAAAAGATAGAAACTGCATCACGTAAGGACTTCATGAGGCAGCTCCCAGCTCTCTCACTGCTCATCACTTGCTGCTTTGCAATGCACCCTCCAGCAGCCCTGCTCCGATTGCCAATCACTCCACTTGAGACCCTCGCTTGCCTGAATGCCTTTGTCCATGCTTTTCCCTTCTTCTGGGAATCCCCTGCCTCTTTACCTGGATAACTCAAGCTCTTTCTTTGCATCTAAATTTCTACGCAAACCTTACCTAATTTTCCCAGGCTGCATGAGGTTTTTTATGCGTCCTTCATGCCTTGTGCATTTTTGTACCTGTGCTACTGTAAAATTATAATACAGTAAACTGCATGTGTGCAGAGATCATCCTTTAACTTGTGAGCTCTTCTGGGGCAAGAGCTTTGCTTAATTATGTTTAATTCATCTTATATCGCCCCAACCTTCTAACAAAATGTTTGTTGAATAAATGTAGGAATAATAGGAATAATAAATGTAATAATGCACGATATCCACTGGCATGTTGTCTTTGCTTTACATTTATTGCTATTATTTAATTTTTTATTAAATAATATTTTTATTAATATCCCTATGAGGTGAATATATTTATTAAACTCTGTTTTAAAATTTTATGAACTTAACTTTTTTGTAGTTAAAAGGATTGCTGAATCTTTTCTAAAGTACCAGAACAATGTGTTGTGGAACATCAAAATGAGTGCATCTAGGCTGGGTGCAGTGGCTCACGCCTGTAATCCCAGCACTTTGGGAGGCTGAGGCTGGTGGATCACGAGGTCAGGAGGGCAAGACCATCCTGGCTAACATGGCAAAACCCTGTCTTTACTAAAAATACAAAAGAACTACCCGGCTGTGGTGGCAGCACCTGTAGTCCCAGCTACTTGGGAGGTTGAGGCAGGAGAATCATTTGAACCCAGGAGGCAAGGTTGCAGTGAGCTGAGATCACTCCACCGCACTCCAGCCTGGAGTGAGACTCTGTTAAAAAAGAAAGAAGGAAAGAAAGAAAGAAAGAAAGAAAGAAAGAAAGAAAGAAAGAAAGAAAGAAAGAAAGAAAGAAAGAAAGGGAAGGAAGAAAGGAAGGAAGGAAGGAAGGAAGGAAGGAAGGAAGGAAGGAAGGAAGGAAGGAAGGAAGGAAAGAAAGAGTGCATCTAAATATACTCGGCTATCCTAATATTTTCTGAAATACTATGTGACTTAAGGAAGCATTTTACCTTTGAGTATCATGGATTCTTCCTCCAAAATTAAGGAAATGTAATGCATAACTGATTTTCAAACTGGAATCTTCGAAGTTGGATCAAAGGTTATTATTGCCTACCAAAGGGAAATGCCAACATTCTCTGTAATAAACCTTCATAGGCAAATTAGAATATCCCGTCATTGTCTTTAATTTGACATTTTGCATACCTGACATGGTAAGACTGGCAATCTTTTGCTGATAAGAAACTTAGATTGGCTGCTTCAGACCCTTCATCTATAGAATATGAAGAAGGAAGAGGAGGAGGAGAGTTTCTTTCAAATTAAGTAGAATTTATAGAAAGAAAAGTAAAAATGCTTTCAGAAAATGATTTCCAATGAGAAAGGAAGATATGGATCAATATGAGTGGAAAAATAAAACACCATGGAACATAGTGTCCTTAGTCTCTTGTAGCATAAAATACAGTGCCAAAAACCTTCCCTTCGGCCCTGTACGGTGTCACCACAGAAAGCTCTGAGAAGGAAGAAAGAGGAAGAAAGTAGAGAAGACTTTCATTTATACAATGCGACCTTGTGTGTATAAGATTCTGCGTTAAGGATGGCTCAGCATGTTCTGAACTGCCCTGAAGAAAGCAACTGTAAACTGATGAATACAAACACATACCATGTTCTCAGGACACTTCCGAGTAAACCACTTCAGGCAGTTTTTAAACAAGGGCTGAAACTCTGAAGAAGGGAATGGCACGCATGAGTTACCCATTTTTGTGTCTTTCAGCCTAAGGACAAGCCAAACTCAGGGCCAAGCAGGCTGCGATAGTTGCTGCATTTCTTTTTTCAGCTGAGTAAGTGGAGAACAAATTTTACGGTAACTAAAGCTACTGGGAAGTAAAGGGGAATTATCGTAAAAGGAATAGTCAGAGAGAAGATGCCCCCAATTTTGTACATAAACTCTGTCCAAATTGCTGGCTGTTCTCTGAATTGTGCACATCTGGGTGAGGCTGCCAGTAACTCAGCTAAAACAAAAGATCAGAACTGGGATTTGAGGTGGCCCAAGAGCAACGATGTGCAGTTTGACACCAACAAAATTACATTTTTACAAAAACAAAAACAACAACCCAGTTTTCAGAAATACAACTGAATTCAGAGACTTCACAGCATAAGACACTCAGTGATGAGGCTGCAATCCCAAAGTGCATGGCATATAAATAACGAGGAAAACATAATCAAAATGCAAAAGAAGTTGTGACCAACCAAGAACAATCTCAGCACAACATGTGGAAATTCATATCATACATGGACTTTAAAGCAGCTGTATAACTATGTTCAATGACTAAAAATTATCTGAATTAATGAAAAGATAGAAAATCTCGGCAGTGACATGAAAACTATAATAAAAGAATTAAGTGGAAATTCTAATAATTCAAAAACACAGTATCAGAAAAAAGAGAAAGAGAGGGAGGAGGGAGGGAGGGAGGGAGGGAGGGAGGGAAGAAGGAAGGAAGGAAGGAAGGAAGGAAGGAAGGAAGGAAGGAAGGAAGGAAGGAAGGAAGGAAGGGAGGAAGGAAAGTTAGTTGGTTACAAGGTAGTATAGCAATGCTAGAGTAATAGTCAGTGACCTCAAAGTTTTATCATTAGAAATTCCCCAAATGAAAAGGAGAATAAATTAAAAAGTAGATGGAAGAAGAGAAAGGAAGACATAGAATTCTATACAATAATAATAAAAATGCTAAGATATACATGCTTACGGTCTCATCATAGAGAAATGAGGCAGATACAGTATATGTTTGAAGATATAATGACTGAAAACTCCCCAAATTTGTTGAAAGACTAAAGTCTGTAGAATCCTGAAGCTAAATGGACCTCAAGCAAAATAGATACAGAAAAAAAAAAAAAAAAGACTTAGGCACATTAGAGAAAACTGCTGAAACCAAAGATAAAGAGAAAATCTTGGAAGTCATCAGAGAAAAATAACACATTTTTTTAGAGGACACTAATGGTTTCAGTTAGCATTAACATCTCTATGAGAAACTATAGATGTCAGGAGACAATATAATATCTTTAAAGTGATAAAAGTCTTTTTTATTTTGCTTTTGGTGGGTTTTTCTTTTTGAGACAGAGTCTCGGTCTGTCGTGCAGTGGTGCAATCTCGGCTCACTGTAACCTCCGCCTCCTGGGTTCAAGCAATTCTCCTGCCTCAGCCTCCCCATTAGCTGGGATTGCAGGCATGCTCTACCACACCCAGCTAATCTGTGTATTTTTAGTAGAGACGGGGTTTCACCATGTTTGCTAGGATAGTCACCCTCTCTTGACCTCATGATCCACCCACCTTGGCCTCCCAAAGTGCTGGGATTACAGGCATAAGCCTGAAGTGTTGAATTTTTAAAAAAAACCCTGTCAAACCAGAATAGTTTATTTAGAAAAAAATAACATTCAGGAAGAGTGATGAAATTAAGGCATTTTCAGATGCAAGGAAGCTGAGAACATTCATCTGTAGCATACTTACAGCAGAGGGAATGCTAAAGAAGGTGTTTCTGTCTGAAGAAAAATTGATACCAGATGAAAACTCAGAGCTTCAGGATGAAACAGCTTCAGAAAGGCGAAATATCCAGGGAAAAAAATAGAAACAATTATTTTTTCCTCTTAATTTCTTTGTAATGCATGGAGCTACTGAAAGCAAAATTATAGTAATGTCCTGGTGATACACAATAATCTGGAAGTAAGATAAATGAGAATAGTATAAAGAATGAAGGGGGATAGGCAGAGCACAGGGGATTTTGAGGGCAGTGAGACTGTATATGCTATAATGATGGGTACATTTATCAATCATTCATCCAAACCCATTTAATGTATACCAAGACTGACCCCCTAGTGTAAGTGATGGATGCTGGGTGATAACGATGTGGCAGTGCAGGTTTATCAGTTGTTACAAATGCACTACTCTGGTGGAGGAAGTTGATTATGGGCAAAGCATGCATGATGGGTGGAGAGGGTATATGGAACATCTCTGTAACTTCTGCTTTATATTGCTGTAAACCTAAAATTGCACTAAAAATACGTTTATTTTAAAAATGGAGAAAAAGGCAAATGGATATAGGTACTTTCAAGGCTTCTACATGTTATGTGAAGTGGTATGTTAATTCTAAGAAGAAATAAAGATTTTCTAAAGACACATGTTGTAAATCCTAAAGCAACCACTTAAAAATGATGCAAAATGACATATTAAAGAGTCAATAAAGAAATGAAAATAAAATTCTAAAAAACATGGTAAAATTACCTAAAATCAGAAGGAAGATGGAACAGAGGAATAAAAATGGGGTGAGGGACAAAAATGAAATAAATAATAAAATGATAGACTTAAATCTGACCATATCCATAATTATGTTGAATATAAAAAACTAAACACTTCAACTAAAGCCAGATACTACCAGAACAAATCAAAAGTCGAAGCACAATTATACAATGTCACCATTGAATTACATTACATATAAATAAACAGGTTCTACGTCAATGGAAGGAAAATATAAACCACTGAAATGGAAAGCATGAGAAGTCTGAAGTAACATGTTGCTATCAAATAAAACATTCTAAAATCAGGAGAGTTAAGAGAAATTAAAAAATAAAAGCCCTGTGAGACAGGCAGGAGATGCTGTTATTACCATATCAACGTAACAGATGAGAAAAATACGACTTTAAAAGGTTAGCCTTGTTTAAGAACGTTTGGTTTAAAACACTTCAGACCAGAGTACAAGTCATCTTTTTCTTTTTCTTCTTCTTCTTCTTCTTCTTCTTCTTCTTCTTCTTCTTCTTCTTCTTCTTCTTCTTCTTCTTCTTCTTCCTTCTTCTTCTTCTTCTTCTTATTCTCCTCCTCCTCCTTCTTCTTCTTCTTCTCCTCCTTCTTCTTCCTCTTCTTTTTTTTTCTTGAGACGGAGTTTCACTCTTATTACCCAGTCTGGAGTGCAATGGCGCGATCTTGGCTCACTACAACCTCCGCCTCCTGGGTTCAGGCAATTCTCCTGTCTCAGCTTCCTGAGTAGCTGGGATTACAGGCACGCGCCACCAGGCCCAGCTAATTTTTTAAAATATTTTTAGTAGAGACGGGATTTCACCATGTTGACCAGGATGATCTCGATCTCTTGACCTCCTGATCCACCCGCCTCAGCCTACCAAAGTCAAAGTACAAGTCTTCTTGTCCCCAGTAGCCAACAATGATCAGCATGAGGAAGTTAGTCCACCAATGGCTGCTGAAAGAACAATCTGCTACCAGTCA